AAGAAGTCTATTTGAGAAGACCCAAATAGAGAGATAACTAGATCTTTAATGATACTAAGTCTAAAAAAATAGATACCAAAGCAATAGTATCCAATCATAGTATCCAAATAGGTAAGAATCTTCAGGTTGAAAGTTTTAAAGATACTACCAACCAGGCTGTTAGAATGAATTGAGAAAAAAAAATATTAGATCAACTTGATATATTGATAAACTAGTCATAGTTTTATACAGATTATCTAGATTAGAAATCTAGTAAAAAGGTAGATGAAAAGGCAGGAGTATACTAAAGTACTGAGATTATGTTTTGAAATAAATATTAGAATTTGAGTAAACTCTATAAAGGTATAGCAATTAAATGATATAACTCTAACTGCAAGTATTGGTTCTACTATAACAATCTCTAGATCAACTGTAAAAATAGATATAAAAAACTCTGAAAGTTTATCTTAAAGATAAAATAGTTCTAAGGTTAAAATGATGATCTAAGTATCTAAGTATAATCCAGTAATGTTAACACAAGTTGCAGGTTCAGAAGGTTTAAAGTAAAACATCCAAGCAGAGGTGTTAGGTATGACAATTGTTGAGGAACTTTCAGGTGGACTTCTTAAATAGGTAATATAGAAAAGTTACACATGTAGCCAATTGTACACTCTTCTATAATAGTTCATTAAATCACATTATCAAAAAAATTATTAATAAAAGTCAAAAGACCAAAGAGATCACCTTAATACTAAAAAAAAAATTTGTTCTGTTAGAGCAAATGATTGGCTGAAACATGTTTTATGCAACACATGTTAACCAATTATTTGTTCTGACAAAACAAATTAATTGTTGCATAACCAATATCTTATACAAAATATATATTTATACATTATTATTTATGAATTACTAAAATTTGTGAATATTCATTAAATAATTATAATAGATATTCAAAGAATTCCAACTCTAAGATGAAGCAATGGCTACAATGAAGGCAAGCCTTTCATTATCACAAATAATAATCATAGGTGACTGGGTATCAAAGACAGTACTATTGTACCTAAGAACAATTGCTATAATACAGATAAATATATCCACAAGAATATGGTTTAAGTTATTAAGTGTTTATTAGGCAATAATGGTTTTTTGATTCTTATATTTTTCTTTATAAGTATTTTAGCAATTGAATTGTGCAAATTGATAATTAAAATATGTTGTATTTGAAATGAAATCTAAGCAAAAATAATTAAACACAATTTTTATTACAAATTTTTTTCAATTTTTTTCTTATTGTTATTTCCTCTTGGGGATGATAATATTTCCCGAAAAGTTAAGATGTAAAGGAAGACAAAGAAAATGTGATAAAAACAATTAGTAACACGAGTCCCCATCGTGTCGTCATATGAGACATTGAATACCTCATATATTTCGCCGTGCCGGGAAAATAATTGAAATACTCTTCCAGCGGCGCAACTATAATGGCGCCTTGCGCTCACGTATGCCACTGAGAAAATATTTCATTATTCTCACTGTCCCGGGGAATAAATAGTACTTATTCATTTAATTATTTACAATAAGTTTTCAATTTTTAATTTGCATTAATTTAGATGAATTTATTTATCTAAGCATTTAGAATAAGCTATTTAAGCTAATGAATATTGCACATAAATTTATTTCGTTATTCACATTAACGTTAATTAGTCAACTTTAATATTGCTATTGAATCCGTTATGTATAACCGCATTAAACTTTCTATCACTATTAAAAATTGGGTATTTTGATTTCAAATTTAATAAGGATGTTCGTTAGGATTAACCATCCTAGAGATGGGCAAAATGCCAATCACCATGCATATGATTAATAAGTACGCAAAACATATTAAACATGCATCATCCTAAGAAAAATTTTATATTTCAAGATCTGGTGTAATATCAAAAAATCGGGCATAACTCAACATTTTACCTATGAAACTGCCTTCTGCGCATTTTGATATAGAAAAAAAATCTTTCTAACCTAACTTAATAGCAAACACTAACCCTAATTTAGTAGAAAATTTTCTTTGTCGCATCGGTGACACTAGGGCCTTAGGTAGGATTAGGGTTAGGGTAAAAATGGCAGATCATTTAAAATGATCATCTAAGGTGCGTAAGCTATAATCCTGTAATCTCACGCAAGTGATAATCTAATACGCAACATATATACGTATCCAAAGCAAGGGAGGTTAGTAATTTAATTAATTGAATTATTTGACCGGAATCAAACAAAACCATTTCCCGAAAACATGAAACAATCAAAGGCTTATTTATTCGGTAGTACTCAAATTGGTTTATATACTGTTTCTATTTTATTGGCGTTTTGGAGTAGCAAAAATTTTATTCAGTTATGTAACGTAAAAATACAATTTGGCTAATCGGCACTATTGATTAGAAATTTCTATATTGCATAATTTCCGATACCACGGAGTTTGACGGTAAATACCGCGGTTAAGATTTCACAAAATGGAAATGATTTGCATTTTAAGAGGAACAGGTCATAGGACATTCGACTGATTGGTTACTCGAATCAATTTCTCGAGAAACTAATTTATATATTACTTTTTAAGATAGCGGTTCACTTATTTTACTAACAAGAAACCAAGATTTGATTATTTTTTACTTCATAAGAAGTTAATGTTCATTAAGTAAAATAACTCCAAAACTGAGAACTTATTTCACTATTACGTTTGCTATATTAGTTATATTTAAGTGAAAACAGTAAAGGGCGAGTTAAGAAGCATAAAATTTTGAACTTGTATATATTATAATACTTGATCATGTAATAATAACGATCTTAACACTGTACTTATATTAATTGAATGTTACGCTAGATGGGTAAGCAAAAGTAATCAATCTCTAGTAAATGAAAAATCGGATAGAATTAGCTATCATTTATAATAATTAGTCAATGAACTATGAGGAATTTAAAAGAAAGGATATGTATTAGAAGATAAATAAATGTCACATCCTTTACGTTAATTACGATAACGATAATACAACAAGCTATCAGGTAGACACTGTCTGATAACGGGTTTATTAGGACAGGATTTAAAATCAGCATAAGGAATTGTATTCCGAAGGAATTTAATTTATTATGCTGATTTTAAAATCATTGACCAGCTTGCCTGATAAAACGATATATTAGTCTAAATTAATTATTTAAATAATAAATAATTTAATTTACGCGTTATCTATTGCCATATTTACTGAGATTCTGGATGTCACATGCACAGATACTGATTATCGATTATCGTGTTTAGCACTTGTAGAATCTTATCATATGCTCACCTGAATCAAGTAGGATTATAATAATTTTTCTTATAAAAAATTTAGCTATTAAAGATTTATACTAATAGATTTAAATGCAAGATATATATTGATAATAAACTATATACTAAGGTTTATTATTAAAAGTTTCCGAGCCTTTGCCAGAGTCCTAATTGGTCGTCATTGTCATATCACTGTTATAGTACAGTATATAGTACGACACGTATCATTTAGTTCTATTCCCCCTACAGGCTAATACTGTTCATCGTGAAGATTGATCAACCACAGATCACTTGTGACAATCTGCTTGTAAGAAAGACGATCATTGCTGCCGATTCTGTTCACACCCCAAAGATTTGATTTTAATCAACTACGTATCAGTATATCGGTATATCGGGATTGCATTTAAATTTTAGGGTTTGAATATAATTGGCGGCAATGGTGAGGGATAAATGCAATGTGATTTTATTTTCAATAATGATCACGTACGTACGTACAGTACACATAAACTGTAAAACAATCAAATAGCTAATCATGCTCACCTACATTGCATTTCATCCGTACATACTGCATAAAAGCACACAAATCCCTTTCTTATGCTAAACATGTAAACATGCAAGAACTTTAAATATTTTTATTCTGTAAAATTAATTGACTTTTTTTTGCAAACTTTATAAATCTTTGGTAATATAAAGTGGCGCCAAGAGATTTCTGCAAATCATGTTTCGTGTATTTTATGTTTTTAATATATATTCTCTTGGCATTACTCTTAATATAAAGTATATATATGTATAATCAATGTTTTTTTGGTGTCAAAATAATACGTGTAACCCAAATAAAGTCATCAAAATTGGTTAATCATAGATTTAATGATTTATATAATCAGATTTACTATTGATCATTATCGCTATCATTATGAAAATAAATAATTCCGGTTTCAACCAAATCATATTTGTTTATGAATAATATAATATTTTATTATTTAAATTTTTTACGTATAAAGTTAACGCTAATGCTAATGCTAACGCTAAATGAACTTTAATTAAATGCATGTACTACCATATACTTTTTTTATATACTCATTCTATTTTCAATTAAACCGATTGATCTTTGTACGTACTACATAAGAGCACGCCATTTTGAAATGCACAAAGCAGGAGAATGCTATATTTCATCCTGCTGCTGCGATTACTGTAAAATTGTGTGACGCATTAAAAAAAAAAAAGAACTTTCTTGATTCCAATACCTGATAAGTATAACACAACAACACAATGTGCTAAAGTCTTTATTCTAACAGAATCCGTAGGTTTACGGGTACGTAATAAGATATCATTTATCCATATTTAGAACGCGATTATTGAGTTATTTACTTGTTATTATGTCTGTCATACGTGTAACGGCATTTACAATGGTACGTGAAAACCTTTTTGTTCTGACGTTTAATCAATTACAACAACGATACCTAAACTTGGTCTTATACAATAATACGTATCGGTATGAGTTATTTTTATGGTCATTTTTGGCAAATTTTTATTTGTCGTTCAATCAGTTGTTTACATATACAATATACAAATAAATAATAAATGACATTCTCTACTATATAGAATACTATTAAAGTTAAAGTGCAAGTGTTTTTTTTTTTTTTTTTTTGTATTAAACTAATCTAATAACAATAATTCTAATATCTTAATATATCAAGTATTAAAATTATTGAAGTTATTAAAATTGTATCAACTCCTTAACATACTTGTTAACTCCAACTAATTGCTTAATAACATAAACTAGTTTTAACAATTCATTAACAAGATGGCTTGTTTTTATCAAATAGGCACAGTAACAAACAAATGCATGAGTTTCCAAATCTTCTTTTGTTAGATCTGATGCAGTTCTCCTGATCCTTCCTGATATCCTACTACCTAATCCTACTTTCCCAAACTTTGTATCCCCTGATGCAATTATATTATATGGTGGTAAAGGAACTTTGTTTTCCAATGCCGTCGATAATATATGAAATGTTGTTAATATATGTGTTATATAATGACATTTGGTTGGATTAAATACATCTGCTAATTCTACCTTCCATTCTGTTCCACTCAATTCACATAATATATGTTCTAATCCTCCAACAAGACAAACCATATGTTCTACAATTTCTATAATTCGGTTATATTTTTCTATCGGAAAGTTTCCACGAAGTGGTGGTTCATATTTTGTACGTGAGAGTAATAACCTTTCTATCGTTATTGATCGATTTATTTTACTAACTAATTTACGGAATGGTTTTGTTCTTGAACCCATTTTCTCATGTAACAATGATGAAATTGTCATTGAATATAAAACACAAATATCGGATATTGTTCGTGCAAGACGTCGTCGAACTTCAACTCTTCCTGTATGTGGCCAAGGTATCATATTCATAATGAAAACTGATGTAATACCAAGTCCTACCGCACTTGTTCGCTATTATATAATACATAATTTTAGTATAAATATATATATTAATATTATAATATTTTGATTTAATTTATCTAATTGAATATAATTAAATATAATTAAATATAATTAAATCCAATTAAATATAATTAAACATATTAAATCTAATTAAATCTAATTAAATATAATTAATATAAAATTAATACAAACCTTTGCCGCAATACTAAAGGCCGTTTCGCTAACAATACCCATTCCATTATGAGCTTGATAAACATTTGTAAGGACTAGTGCAAAATTAACCAACATAATAACTCCTCCAACTGTCCACACTTTGGCATTCAAATATATGAACCAAAGGAGTAATGAAAATACGAAAAGTAAACATGCGAGTCCATAAACGTTGCCTTGTGTTATTTCCCACGTGATTATAGCAGTCGTGGCTCCTACAATCGATCCTAAAAGACGACCAAAAAATTGAAGTACAGCTCCTCCAGTAGTAGGTGAAAAAGAAAGAACTGCACTAATGACTGCCCACTATTACGTTTGAACATTTAAAACATTTGATAAATAAATAAATTTATACTTAAAATATTTCAAAAATTATTATTTATTATTATTCTTACCTGTCCGTGATAATAATTAAACCATTCATATGAATTCGGTAAAAATGCCGGTATACACAATACTGTAACTACCAATGCATTTTTAATTGCGAATCTAGCATAAATACTATTAAACCAATTTCTAATCAACCATAATTTATACCAAAATCGTTGAAATTTTGTAGTAGGTTGTGTCACATCAGGATCAAATAATATTTCATTTTCAATCTCTTCTTTTTCATCTTGTCTAGTATTAGATTCGAAAAATTTTAAATGTTCTTCTTCAGTTCCTCCTACGTCTCTTGTACGTTTGAAAAATGGTATTGGTGGATGCCAAAATTTCTTGGATTGTCTTTGATTTCCTAATATTTTTATAGTTCCTACTAATAAACTTAAATCTTCTGCAAATGTTTTAAGATTATTTTCGAATAAAAGTATTAAAAGTAATGATCTTTGTGGTAATGGACTAATAAATTCTTTATCTGAAAATAATCTATATAACCCTTCAACTCGTGCATTCTCAAATTTTGTTAAAGCAGCTTGAAGATCTCCCATAGGATCTTCAAGTACATTTTGATTATGACTTGGTGTCGCTTTAAGATTAAATGGCCATATATTTCTATACCATGGGTCTCGACAATTATGTTTTAAATGTTCAACACGTATCATACAATCTGCTAAACAAATTTGACATGTTTGTGAAAGTTCCTTACAAATAGGTCGAATAATTTCTAAAAGTTTTTTTAAATCTTCTTCACTTCCCGTTGATGTTCCAACTGATAATGGTGATGGTTCATCAACATATGTATTTAAAGTTACTTGATCTAAAATCGATGCTTGTTCACATTTATCTTCAATTCTAATTTCAATTGTTCCTTCTCGTCTATCTTTTATTAATTCTTCTTCAATAACTCCACTTAATGCTAATCCTTCTAATATCATATGCAACGATTTTACTATTTTATTTATATCTAATAAATCTTCCGGTCCAATCTTTGAATATGATACTTCATGTTGTGCATCTTTTTTTGCTATATCAAGATTAAAAACATTATCTTGTACAACTCGAAATAATTCGGAAATTCTATTCCTTGTATTCCTATTATACGAATGATCATAAAGAAAATAATTCGTTTCATGTTCAAGCAAATCAATAAAACTTTGAAGTGTATTATGAAGGCAGGGTATATAATTAGTAGTAGCATTCTCTGGCCATAACGTTATATTAACCACAAATGAACATGCAGGTCCAATTAACATCGGTATAAGCAAATTTTTCTATAAATCATATAAAAAAAAAAAATTTATCGATAATAATAAATATCAAAAACCAAATTATTAAACTATTTTTTTTTAATTATTATTATGGTTATTTAAATTTAATAATCTTTAATCTTACCAATATTCGATTTGTATTTTCAGGTGTAACATATGATAATGTCAAGCTAAGACTCATAATCATTATAGCATTAATTGATCCATAACGCATAGGTTGCCATTTAATTTTATCATATGATAAAACAAATGTACCAATAGCCAAGAATGATAAATTGACTAACATAGCAGGAATACTAAATATTTCATCACCACGTATTGCTTGAGATATTTTAATACCTAAAAATGACCATAACGTAGCTAAGCAAGCTCCAACGATTCCCCAACCTGCGCTCTATATTATAAATCTTGTGTTAAAGAAAAAAGATTGATGATTGTTAAAATTTATTATTTTTTTTTTTACTTACCTCCCATAAGGATCCAAATGTTCTTGAAGGTTGAAAGTAACAGACCATTACGACTGCCAAGAAGGTATAAGGGCCTAATTCCTGCATTGCAGGGACAATAAGGTCAATAACAAAGGCAAGCCAGTAAGCAACAGAAGCCTTAAGGACTTGCTTTGCCATAGGCCAAGTTGCTTTTTCCATTATACTATCAAAGATAGGTTTAATTAATTTATACCAGATATCCGAACATCTTGGTACTCGTTTAGGTGTTGGTTCTATGGGTGGATTATTATTGTCGTCATTGTTGTTTCCTTGTTTTAACGCTTCTTGGTAAAGATCTGACTTTAAAACATCTCTAACGACTTTGGATAAATCATTGTCTGCTGTCAAGGTTAATTCGTTATCATATTCTTCTGATTCTTCTTCACATACTTCCATTACTGTTTCAATAGATAGTGAAGAATGTGACTGTTCTGGATGAAATCTATCTTCCAAATTCTCCATTATTACACTGTATTAATGAAATCCAATCCTTTTTTTATTTATTTAATTTAATTTTATTTTATTTTTTATTTTTTTTTCTCGTAAGAAAAGAAAAGGAGTAAGTATTTAAGATTTAAGGCAACGGCATTTTTTACAAATAATTGAGTCTGCGGATCTAAGCGGTAGTTTACATGTGATACAGCTATAAACAAATCGGGATCATCACTACACCACCTTTTGATATCGGCAGATATATACGTAATATAATAAATAAATAAATAAGTAAATAAGTAATATAAATTGCTAAAAGAGAGATAAGAAAAAAAAAAAAAAACTTATGCGCGTATGCTGTTTATGTTTCACAATCATGACAGATTTAGATGATCGCTTTTGTGGAAAAAGAACACAACCATTTTCATTATTGGGCTGAGACTACGTCTTTTAACCTTTTAAATGCTCAAATTGACCCCTTTCCTTATTTATATTAGTAAAATTTCAAGAGTCAAACAAGAATTAAAATAAAAGTTAGATATTTTTTTTTGACAATTATATAGAGTGTATTGTTATTATTAATTGTTAATACTTTTTTAAAAGGCGTCAAAATTACAAAGCATTTTATTGTTGTTTACTTAATGCGTGGAAAGACCAAATAGAAATAGGTCTTCTTTACATGCATGTCTATCTATCTATCTATCTATCTATCAAATCACTACAAATAATTGAATCAAAAAGCTTATAATTGTTCAAACAATAATTCAATTTTTTTAACAAAAAAAAACAAAATAATAATAATACTTATTTCTCAACAATTTTAAAGACTTCAATTTCTTCAATACAAAAATTATTCGTATCTAAAATACTATCTTCATATGAATACTTATTGCATGCCCCATTATTATTATTCAAAACTAAATCACTTTGTCCAAAGTGTGCACCATTATTAGCATAATCATAAACTGCATGTTGATGATTACTAACTCGACTAATTTTACAATCATCACTTAATTTACCATTACCGAATGAAAAGATAAAACTATCAAATGTATTTGCCCATGTAGGAAAACTTCTATAAATCCAACCGCATGGATTATAACCTCCAATTATTTGTCCTGAATCTTTAACTTTAACAATTACAACTGCTGATCCTTGATTATTGGCATAACTACGAAATACTCCATTATTAAATCCATGAAGACTACCACGATAAAGAAGTGTAAATTCATAAGGAATTGTTGATGTTACGCATAACTTCCCATCAACTCGATTAATCCAATTAGCAATAATTACGGCATGCTTTGGTTTAATTATCACCGAATCAATTCTCCATCGTCCCATCCTCGGTGATAAATTGACTGTTCTTGGTTCTGTATCGGCTAAATAATGTGACATAAGATCTTCATATATATTTGGTGGAAGTATTTGTTTGTATGGTCGAACTTTATAATAAAAATCTTTGGGTGAAATTTCGAAAAGTCGGATAAGTGGAATAAATTGTTCAACTGATTTCTTCAAAGTAATAAAATGGTTTTCTGTCCATTTAGTAACATCATTAGGAATTTTTATATCATTTGTATTGATGTTTTGTGCAATTCCCCATTTAATTAGGTGTTCCCAAACTTCTATCTCATCTATTTCTAAATCTTCTCGTTCTAGAAGTCCATAAAGAATATCTCTATCCAATGTTGAAAAATTCTTGGATGAAAAAAATGGATGTGGATCTTGACAAATAGATTTTAAACAATGATCTTGAAGTTTTTTACAACTTTCAAGTTTAATTACTGTTTGTAATACTTGAACAAAATTTAATCTTAACCAATTGGCTTTTTCTTCGATTAAATGTTCTTGACAGTGAACAATTAATTCATCAAGGAGTAACTCGTCAGATGCTACCAAAAGACCAAGAATATCCGATCCAGATTGCTTCTCCAAGTCAAGAATCCCTGCATAAATATATCTATTTTAATATTGGTTTTAAAAATTCAGATTCTTTTAATTAATACTGCCTTTATTTTTTTATTTTTTTTTATTCTAATTATCTCTAACATTTCTAGTTATAATATAATATACGTATGTATAATTTTAATACTAATTTAGAAAAAAACACATACTTAAGCATCATTGCAAACACCATTGGCGAGACATTGGGTTTATTAAAGATAATAGTATTATCTTTTTTTATAACCCAATCACTTGAAAGTGCTCTCTTGAAATATGGTGACCTTGCCATCAAAATATTCGAATGAGCTCGAAACTCTTTAACATTAGAACCTTCTCCAACTTGAATATTAACATTATAATCGTTTGCATTATCAAGAAGTTGTGAAAGATCTTGCGATAAATTTGAAAAAAATTGGGATGGCATAATCGAATTCCGGTTTTCTTTTTTTTTTTTTTGATGAATTGATGAATTTTGATGAATTATGATGAATCTCGTTTAAATTGTTAAGAGGAACAATATTTATGCAAACATGCGTGGGTATTTCTATTTATATATAAGCATGATAGAATCATAGAGTTAATTTTCATGTGAACAGTCATATGATTTAACAATCTTAATTCTTACGAGTGGAAGATGGCCTGCATTAATGAGATGCACGCCTGCAGGTTTTCTAACTTTTAATTCCAGCCGAACATTGAAGATATTTGATAAAGGAATTATTTGATTGACTCATATTGATATCGATATTATTGATCATTTTCGTATACATACTTTTTTTTTTCCTATTCAATGAATAATAGCTACGAACTTCAATGAATGATAGTTACGAACTTCAATTAGTAATAATTCGAATTCTAGAAATTTCATTATGGTGAATCCTATTTATCAAAAATAGATTTCAATTACCTGTAGATACCTGTACTGATATACAGTACATACGTTTACGCTACCGGAAATTAAAAAAAAAAAAAAAAAAAAACTTAATTTAAATTTGTATATATTTTATCAAAAAAAAAAAACTTGTAATTAAATAATATCGATATCAAAAAATATTTTAACGATAAGTGATTAATGTTGGCATTAGTAATTGATTATTTAATTTTTTATCGTTGTAGATTTTCTAAATTTTAAAAATACCTGATAAAAAAAAAATCTGATGGTCCAGGTTTCAGTAAACAAAAAAAAAAAAAAATTCTGATTATCGCGTTTACAGTCACCCCACTATAAGCGCATGTCTTTGAGGCAATGTGTACCTATAGAGAGTTATGCACTTATATTGTGGGAAAAAAAAAGATCTAAGCCCGATTTTAATAACATTCTAAATTTTCGAATCATTTTATTATAATGCAATGCTTATAGATGGAAAGTCATGACAATGCAGGAGTAAAATTTATCGGGTATACGGATTGTTTCTTAAACGATTTTAGTAAAAAAAAAAATGTTTAGCACCTAAAAACCTTAACCTCTAAGTTTTTAATTTTTAACTTTAAAATTTGACTTAGTAGTAACCCGTGGCGTTGACGCGGGAATTTACAAATTATCACGATATATAATCAAACCTTTTTAAGAATTTAGTTCTTATCTTTATAGAGTTTGTGTTTCTATAGAGGTTGAATTTTATAGGTGTTATATATGTTGATTTTAAAATTTTGTGATTATAAGCAAAATTTTATATAATTATAATTATAAAAAAAATAATTACAAGGTCTAATTATATTTATTTTTTTCCTTTAACCAGTTTTGTTTTATTGATTTGATTAATGTATTATATCAATAAATTGAACCAAAAAAACATATGTAATTACTAAATAAAATCTTATTTAACTATATATGATATTTAAATAAAAACAAAAATACAGTACGTAGTTGATATGTTTAATTGCTTTATCTTAGTGTTTTTATAAATCATTAATCTAATTTAGTACACAATTTTTTTTAAAATATAAGAAAATTTTCAATCAAATTAATATTTAAGTATATTAAAAACTTTTTTTATTTAGTAATCAAATAAATTGACAGTTATATAATAGAAATACAGTATTATTTTTTTTTAATTTAAACTAGTCTCTCGGGGACTAAAGTTTTTATTCAGTATTATAGGACATAAGAACTTATAGTTAAAGCCTCAAAGGAGCCATCTTTACATTAGAGATTACAACTAGTTACGCATACTTTTGGTGTCTAATTTAAGTAGATTTTACATTAGTTGCCATATCTGCAACTCAATTACAGGTATAGCTTATTTAAACCCTTTATATTACAATTCTTATTGTATTATTAGAACATCTCTAATACATATATTAGTTAAAAAATTCTAAATACATACTTGTACTTTTAGACTGTTTATCTTGTTTTATACAGTTTATTTTCAAGACATTGTTACTAGAACCTTTTATGTTTATACATAACTAATCTACAGTAGTTTTATATAACAAGCTATAGTTAGTTAATACTTGCAGTTACAAGTATTTTTGTTAAATTGTTATGTTATACTATTTTTATTTTTGTAAAGTTTATCCAAGTTCTAGTATTTATCTTTCTAATATCTTTATAATTTTTTACTAATTCTTTTACTTAGTACTAACCAAACTTTTCAAATTACTAATTCAAATAACCTAATATAATATACTTTTATATTTTTTTTTGCCAAATTTTAGTAATCTAATTAATTATATATTCTTTTAAATATCTTTGTTATTCAGTTTATTTAGTAAATCTTTTTGAAGAATATTTATAAGTATTTATTAGTCTGATAATATTGTTACAAGTTTATATTAAAAATGATGATCCTAGTATAGTAGTTAAGTTGTCATTTTTCAAATAGTAAGTTCAGAGTTCAAATCCTACTAGCAGCAGAATTTTGAAAAATGGTTCTATTTGAACAACTTGAACAAGGTATCTGGGATTATAATTCTGTAATTCTGATTATACCTAAACTAACTTTAGAAATATGCAATATTATATAAATAAATTTAAAAAGTATATACTTTATAAGATGCTCTGTTTGAAAATTCCAAATAAAAAGGTAATATGATTTTTAATAGTACTATCTGTAAAAATCTTGATCCTTAGAAGGAAATCTGAGCAGATAACTTATATGAGCAAGAACTTTTAAATAAAAGAGATTTACTAATCTAGCTATTAGTTGATTTGATTATAAAGTTATATCATATAGAACTTATTAGATTGATAGTATAAGAAAACTTGCAAAAATAGATAAGATATCAATAAGATTGTAAAAGTGAATACTGAGATTGTATGGACTCTACAAATGTATAGCAGTTTAATGGTTAGCTTTGATTGCAAATATTGGTTCGGTCATAACAAGTCTAAATTAGTTGTAAATAGTAATATAGAAATTTACTTCAAAAATAAATTAGTTTTAAAATTAAGATGAAAATTTGAAGTAACTTAATAAAGTTAATATAAGTTATAGGTTCAAAGTGTTTAAATAGAACATTTAAACAGAAATATTAGATACAAAAACCTTTAAACAAATTTCTTAAATAGATAATATAGAAAACTTATATGTATAACTAGTTATACACTCTTTCTACAATAGTTTTTATAGAACTATACTACTTAAAAAGTGTTAATAAAGTCAAAAAATCAAAGAAGTTATTTTAATATCAAAAAAAAATTAAAAGTTTATATTACTTTTTTATTTAGAAATTTTTAAATAAAATTTTATTTTTTTAGTTTTTTAGTTTTTTGTACTTAGTAGTTTTATTATAAATTTGTATTAAAGTCTTTTGTAATATTAGTAAATATTTTTTTAGTATTAAAATGACCTCTTTGGTTTTTTAATTTTTATTAATATTTTTTAATAATGTATTTTATAAAAAACTATATATTTTAAAAAAAGTATACAATTGGCTACATGTATAATTTTTTTATATTATCTATTTAAGAAATCTGCCCAAAGGTTTCTTATCAATTATTATATTAAACATCTCTACTTAGATGTTCTATTTTAAACTCTTTGAATCTACAACATGTATTAATATTATTAAGTCATGCTTAGATTATTGTTTCAATTTTAAAATTATTTTATTCTTAAGATAAATCTTTTGAAACCTTTTATACTTATTTTTACAACTAATTTAGTATTGCTATGACAGAATCAACACTTGTAATTAGAGCTGATTATTAAACTGCTATGCCTTTACAAAGTTTATTCAAACCTTATAACATATTTAAAATACTTTATTAAATCTTGTATTGTTATCAGACTTTCAATTCAGATAGCTTAGTAAAACTATAAACAGTATATAAATATATCAGATTAGTTTAATATTTATTTTCTTTAGTTTATTTCAGTAGTCTGATTAGTGGTACTCTTACTTAAAGATGCTTGTTTATCTGATTCTTTTACATTAGTATCTATTTTCTAAGACTAGTCTTTATAGTAATATTATTAAAAATTTATATTATTTTTTTGTAAATTTTCTTATATTAAAAAAATCTAAACTGGCAGCTAAAAAAATATATCAAAAATTCTCTATATATCTAATATTAATATCATGTTTTATTAGTAAAATTTCATTCTAAAAACTTTTATTTAAAGGTCAAAAGTTAGTTATTAAAATAAATTTTTTGTATTTTTTATAATTTTTTATATTTTTTATATTTGTTTATTATATAAGTTTCTGTAATTTTATTGAGTCCAGATAGGATTAGAAGCATTTTTAGCAATCTTTAGCTTAAAATTTTTTTAACATAAAAGTATTTTTTTTTTGTTCAGATTTTTCCAAATAAACTTCTTATTTTCTAATTTCTACAAATTTACAGTTATAAGAAATTATTTAAAGTTTGCATTACCTAATGCCAGTTTATATTTCTTTATATAACCAATTACACAAATGCTCTATAATCTGCCAATTATGTTAATACAATTATAATTACAGTTATCTTAATCTAATTATTAAAAACAGTTGTTATAATACTATTATATAGATAATTATTTAAATGTTTGCTATCAATAGGTTTTGAATATTTAACTTACTACTTGAAGATTAATAACTTATTCACTTTACTAAGTTGTCACAAACCAGTAAATATTTTTTTATATATACAGTATAATCTTGATATAACAAAGCTCTGGAGCTGAAGGTTTTGCTTCATTATATCAAAACTTATTAGTAGTTTCATTATATCAAAGCTAATTTAAACATAAAAATTAGAAATAATCTTCATTATTGTTATATCAAGGTTTATTATATCAAGGCTATACTGTATATAATTTTATATTTTATATAAATGTTATAAGTTTTTAAATCATATTATTATAATACAGATATATAATTTTTAAAAAATAGTTGTTATAATTTAGATATAATTTTTAAATTTTGTTATAAATAGGATTTGAATACTAGATCAGCTACTTAGAGATTAACAACTTATTATTATTATTATTATTATTATTATTATTTAACTTAAGCAGTCACACTAGTACTTTATTAGAATTTTTGATACTATACAGATTACAAAGAATTTTTCTAATACTTAAGTTCAGCATCACCTAGCCACCTTATTGGTACCTAAGTGTGACCTGCCACACTACCTCAAACAAAGGTAAACTGCTTGTCTAACTGTCACCCTACAATAAGATATTACTAATCTGATGACACCTTCTTATAGGGAAGCAAAAAAACAAAAAAAAGATTTTATATATAAAAAAAACAGAGGTATAGGGGTAAATAATAAAAGATACAAAACAAGAAATAAAAAGAAGAAAGAAGAAAATGAGAAAAAAGAAAGATGTGAAACTTGATCAATAACTTATTAGCTTTTTAAGTTATATATTTTTATAATATAAAAAAATTATATAATTTATTATTTAAAATAATTTAGTAAATTTTTTAAAAATATGATAATATTAAGTTTTTGTAAAAAAAAAAAATAATTTAAAAATATTAAATTTGAAATAAATAGTGTTTGGATCTGTGAATATCTGATTATTTTTTGTTCAATTCACTGGATTATTATATCTGGTCATAAACTATCTGATAAAATCCAGTAACATCTATTTGAATTTTTAAAATAAATTTATTAGTAAAAATAAGAAAAATAAAAACCAATTTATAGAGCCAATAAATTAATAAATTACAATATTATCAATTATACTATATATATTGCATTATATATTATGTGTTTTTGTTAGTCTTGAAAAAACATCATTTCAACATAATTTATATTTCTTTTAAGAAATAACATTCACTCAAATAAATCAGGGTTTAAATAACTATGTTTTGTAGTTATAAGATTTTCTGCTTCACTAAAAAGATGCTTGCTGGATGTAGAAGTAGCTGGAACACACAAATATTTGCATACTATTTTGCTTAGTATTGGAAGGTTATTTTGTTGGCTGTTTTATCATTTTAATAAATATTTTATACTTAAAATTTTTGAAAGTGCAAGATAAACTTAAATTTTTTCATTAATTTTAGAATTCTGAATGGATAATGTGTACATAGCAGCTAATAATGCATTTTTTTTCTTATCATCTTTTATTTGTGTTATATCATATAATGTTGATGCTGATTCTTTAAAAAGTTTATATTCAGCTACCAAATAAGTTTTAGCTTCAATCTTTTGACTGTATGTAACAAACTCTATTTTTTTATTTCTAGAATCAAGGATTGTTGCAAGAAGAGATTTAAGAGTTAGATAATTCCAATAATAATTTAAAACATTATATAATACTAACCTAATTTTACTTAGCATTCCTTCACAGTTTTGTGGAGTGTTAATTTTAATTTAATTTATCTTTATCTCAGTTTTAACATCTACTATTTCTGGTTCATTAGCAAATTCGATCTTTTCTTTCAAATCTAAGTTATTACTAAATGCAGAATTTAAATTATTAAAATCTACTGTAACTGAAACTATATTGTTATCAACATTAAGTAATTTTTTTAATGAAGATATTGCCACAAACATGTAAGACATTGTAACATATTTGCTTCTACCAAGCATTTTGGTAGCATATTCAAAAAGTTGTAAAATTTTAACTAAGTTATTCATTAATTGCTATTTGCTTAGTGTTAACATAATTCTTTTAAGACATCATGCATCTTTTTTAGCTACAGAATTATTACTATAGCTTAATGTAACTTGCATGATCTCAATAGCAGGTTTCAATTTAAGAATTCAAACTCATGCCAAATATAATGAGTTCTATCTTGTTGGAACATCAACTATTACTTGTAAATGTTTATAGTTGTTACAAATATTATTATATATCTTGTGATTTAATAATGCTTGTGCTATTTTTAGCTGTTCGCTTTGTTTGGGTGATATAAAAAATTGTATAAGTTATTTGCCTGTATGACCAGTACTTTAATTAGTAACAAGCCTTTATTTACAACAATTTGTAAAGTATTGCATTACATGAAAGTCAATTAACTTCTTCTATTTCACCAATTGCCTTTATTATATTTTTGGCATTGTCAGTATATCATAAAGCATTTTTCAAAAATATTCTAATCCTGCATAATTGATTTCAAGATGGTAGCAATTGTAGAGCTGATATGTAGATACCTTAATTAACAAATTGCTAGAGTAATGTCTTGTAGTTCAAATTCTGAATCAATAAATGAATATGTAACATTAATGCATCCTGTTCCACTATGTGCTATCTATAAATCTGTTGTCAAGCCATAATGTTTTATTGAATTATTTATTTTATTATAAAGAGTTGCTAACATTTAATCATAGGCCAAATAAATTTTATTTTAATTTCTTTATTACTAGGTAATTCATAAAACAGACCAAGTGCTATTGAATATTTTATAAACTCTGAGCTTTCTAGTAGATAAAATGGTTGTAAATTAGTAATTATAAATTCAACTAAGGCTCTATTAACTTGTTCTTTATAAACAGTATTATTTCTTGTTAGTTGACAAAATTGTTCATCAAGTGTTAGCTAGTCCAATTTATATCTTCCAAATTTTGTAATTCATGCTTATTTTGGAGATGATTACTAAAATTTTCTGTGCTACCATTTATTTCAATTATATAATTGCATTTAAGTTCATCTTTTTTTAGTTTTTTATACTGGCCTTTGGATTCATAATTAGTAGATAATTTTGTAAAAAATCTCATATTCAACTTCTTTTTCATGACTCTCATCTTTTTTTGGGTTTGTTAGATTTATCATTGTCTAGTGAAAGTGTTGTAGTTGTGGTGTTCATCAAAGGAACTCTATTAGAGTCTTTGTTAAAACTTTCTTCACTGCTTTCTATTTCTATTAATTAATATTTATATACTATACAGGGCAATTGATAAACTGGTATTTATTAGATACAATTTTACAATGAAGTAAAAAATTGAGTTACATATCAATTAAGCCTTCTATTTAAATTTATTTATATTTTGATTACATCAGTGATACATCAAAATAGACTTTAAATTAAACTTATTATTATTATAATTTTTACTTTTAAGTTAATTTCAGATAATTCAATGGATAGCAAATAAATATCTACTAGATTAAAATAGTCAGATATTCATTAAATAATCTGATACTTGTTTCAATAGATCCAAACACTAGAAGTAAATATTAAATTTATTATTAGAATTAATTATAAAATATTATTTTTTTTATATATTATAATTAACTAGTTACTTAATTATTATATAAATAAAATACTATAAAATATATATTTTAAAATTTTGTTTTATGGGTGTGGCAACTTAGTAAAGTGAATAAGTTGTCATACTCCCAAGTAGTAGATTGTGAGTTCAAAACCCACTGATAGCGAAATTTGGATAATCATCTATATAATATATAGATAGTATTATGGCGACAGCATTCTGTTGATCAGTTGAAATAGGATACTTGTAACTATAGTCATACTAGTATAACTGGCAGGTCTGGGGCATCTGTGTAACCTGTTACACGGAGAAATGCAAACCAGTACCAGGTAGTGCAAACCTAAAATAAGTCCTTGGATCATGTAAATCTGTAGAACTTAGAAGCTGGAGCCTACTTGGAAATTCTGAGCAGAAAAGTAACATGGATCTTCGATAGTATTACTGTAAAGGCTAGACCTAGGAAATGGATACTAATGTGAAGAATTCAGGCAGGCAAGAACCTCTGATAAGAGGTACTATCAACTAGGCCACCGGATTTCAGACCGGAGGAAAAGGATATTGGGCTGGCCTCAATATACCAAGTACAGGTCACAGTCCTACTGGGCTATCTGGATTGGGAGTCTGAGTTCAAAGCAGGAGTATACTAAAAGTACTAGAGATATGCTATAAAAAGTAGGTAGATAGTTAACAACAAGAGGCCCCTTGCACCTTACTGGCAGGTGACATACTCTGAAATATGTAACAGCCTGGGAACCAGTACAAAAAGAGTAAATACTATACTGCTCAGATAATATACCGATTAGGTATATACAGAGGGTTAGTTGAAGATTCCAATATGACAGAGAGGATGATCAGAGGGTTTAAATGAATAATCTTCTAGTAGGTTATAGGTATGACATCTAGTGTAGAACCTTAGAGCAGACTACTTAAAATAAGCAACCAAAAGTTGCATGTATAACTAGCTGTACTCTCATCTCTGTAAAAATAGTTGTAATAGCTAACCCAATATAAAGTCAATAAAATATTGCCACAAGTATAGCCTTTAACAAAAAAAAAAAAAAATATTTTGTTTTGTTATTCATATAGTCAATTGCTGATCTTATAATATTATATATATATATATATATTTTTTATTATATAGACATCTGAATTGCCTACTTAATCTATACTATTTTATGTTACTATATTGATATTGTCTATTTAAACTATTTTATTACTATTTTGATATTCAAGTTGCTTACTTAGACTATCTTAAAACTTTTTTTAATTTTAATAATAAATAGATAAATTTTATTAACAAAACTAAACTTGTATTAAGTTAGCAATAAAGACAAAAATAAGATAACTGCCTTTTATTTATATTTTACTTATATATATAGTTATTTTTTATAACTATATTAATTATAATTTTTTTTAATATTAAAGTAAAGTTATAGTTTTATTAATATATACTGTATTTGTTATAGCTTATACAATTTTATTTATTTTTTTTTTTTAAATATTAAGGTGAGTACTTGTGACTTAGGATTTTATTAATAGTACATTCAGCTAATAATTGCATTACAACCACAAGAGGCAACTATGGAAAAAGTGTACAACTAGCCACTTGTACAACTTTAGTCATTGTCTAATTTAAGTAGTCCATTCAAAGGTTCTACACTAGCTGCCATATCTAAAACCTACTTGTAAGTTTCCTATTTAACCACTCTGTTCCTGTATTCACCCACCTACCTACATCTACTAAGATGCCCCAGTCGATACTGGTACAAATATGCTATGGTCACTAAGTCTTTAAAGCAGTTCACTCATATAGGGAACCTTTAATCTTGTACTAAACCTTCCAAAATCTTCTGTATCCTATTCTTACAACTGACCTGGTATCATTATAGCTGAGACCAATACTGATAGTCAGGGCATACTATTTAACCGCTATGCTCTTGTAAAGTTCACCCCAACCCTGATACTAACTTCACAATATATCCCTACTACTTTGGTATTCAATTCAAGTTTCACTAAGCTTCCAAACCAGATAGCCCAAAAAGGCAGGTCATAACTATACACCTTTGGTTTACATATTTGCCAGCATATAACCTTTTTCTCCAGAACCCAGAAATTCTGGTGGCCTGGTTGGTTTCATTCGGCCCCTCTTCAAAGGCTGGCTCTTTGCCTGGTTTCACAAGTTCTAGCTCTATTTCATAGATTTAGTCTTTACAGTAGCACTGTCAAAAGTTCAGGTTATCTCTCTACTCGGGTTTTCCAAGCAGGCTTCCATCCTCCTACCTGGTTCTCATGATTTACATGGCCTAAGGACTTATCTTGGGTTTACACCACCTGGTACCAGTTTGTGTTCCTTTATACAACATTGCACAAATGCCTAGACCTTCCAGTCAGGCTGGTATGACACAGGTTACAGATATTCTATTCCAACCAATCACAGAAAACAGTTAGTCATAATACAGAAAGAATTGCAAATTTTCGCCATTACTAGGATTTGAACTCTAGACCTGCCACTTGGAGGTTGACAACCTATCCACTTCACTAGGTTGCCACACCTATACAATTCTATATATATATTATTTATTATTCTATATATTCATTAAAACATAGAATTCAGACATATTTATCTGTAATTTAAATATACTAGAGCTTTGTATTGTGTCCTATTTACACCTAACCTTAATTTTGTTTTATTACTAATTATATTAAATAATTTGCATATTATTTCTATATCTTACAACTTAGTTTAACAACCTTCAAATTGGTTTACTAAGTTATTTACTTTTTTTTAAGCTTCTATCTTTAGTTTGTTTAAAGAGTATTTCTCTAATATATATTTTAAATCAGAGTTTTGTGTGAAGAACTAGGAATATGATAACCAGACCCAACATACAGGGCAGGTTTTGGTATCCTCCACAGCTGTGCAAGCCAAGCTTAAAACAGTGAATGACTCTGTAGAAGTCATTACAAATACTATCTTTACTTCCAATACTTTAACTCCTATTGAAATAGATAAATGCTATAATAATTTCTAAAACAACATAACTTACCTCAAATATTTAAACCTGTTTCACTTAACAAATTTATTCATCACTTACATTTAAATCTCTTTTTTAATCCAATAAAAATATCTATAAACTCAAAAAAAACAAAAACACA